GGTTTGCATGCATCTTATTTTTTCACACTTGTACTTTCCTTATATTCACATCTGTATATAAATATATGTATATACGCATGCATATACGTTTACATATATGTATTTTTACTATGCTTATCCTGTTACATTTATAACATTTTCTTGTTTTCTTCGACTGATTCAAACATAATCACAATTTCCACCTTGCTGGGTTAAAGCAATATGCAATTTTTTCTTATTTTTTAGTTTTTAACAGATTCAATACAGCTTTTGGTTATAATTCTTTAAAATATTTTTATTAATGTTTAGATATAATTCTAAGGCTATAATAATAGCTTCTTCACTCCTCCTTTTTTTCCTTCAACTTGTGTTATAATATTTTGAATTTGTTAAAATTACTGGCCTAATCTTCCAAGGTGAGCATAATGTGGAGCAAAAATTAGGTATAGTCATTAAGGCACTGCTTAGAATGCCTACCTCCAGTATCAGAATGCACAGATTCAAGTGTTGGCTCTCTTTCAGAGCTCAGCTTCCTGCTCATGTGCGCCTTGGGAGGCATTGATGAAGGCTGAAGCACCATGGTACCTGCTACCTACTTGATATTCTAGAATGAGTTCTGATTCCTGGCTTTGGGCATTTGGGGAGTGAACCAATGAAAGGAAGTCATTCTGTCTGTGTTTTTCTGCTTTCCAAATAAAAATAAATAAATGTAAATTTTAAAATAGATAAGTCATTAATCTATTGAAGTAAGTAAAAAGTTTAATGTAGTACCTACCTCATGGTACTATGAGAATTAAACACAATATATGAAAATTGATTAACACAGAATCCTGGATTTATTAAATAATAAGTCATTTCTTTGATCCAAATGTTGATAATGCTATTAATGAATATTTTTATGAAAACCATTATGACTCAAACTGTATTAAAATATGACTCAACTTATATTAAAATGTGACACAAATTATATTTTAAAATGCAATATTTTAAAAATTGTATTTGAAAGGCAGGGAGACAGACTGATGAAGAGAGATCTTTCTTCTGTGGTTCACTCTCCAACTGTCCCCATCAGCTAGTGCTGGGATACTCAAAGCCTGTAGCCCAGAATTCAATCTGGGTCTCCCACCTGTGTGGCAAGGATCTAAGTACTTGGACCATCACCTGCTGCCTCTCAAAGTACACATTATGAGATGGCTATACAGGAAGTGGCATGACTGGGACTCGACCCAGGAATTCTGGTACTGGATGAAATTGTCTCAAGTGGCGAGTTAACTGTGTTTCACATACCTGCCTCTTGTCATTTCTGTCTCATCTCTTCTCTGTTACAGAACGCTTTCTGTATCTGACTTCTTCTGGCGTGTCATCTGCAAGTGAGATTTTATTACTAGAAGTACATTCTAGAAAAATAAGATGATAATTTTATAGGATCAAAGAGAATAATGGATTTTTGAGGTTGTTTGGATTCATGAGATTTTATGATTTTGTGAGCCACACAGGCTATCTCTAAATGATTTTACCATGTTTAAGCAATTTGTTTTTTAAGTTAGTTGTATGGATTTTGAAATTATTTTTCCCCAAGACATACTTCTATAGAAAATGTAAGGAATTGTCTAGATGAGGAAAGATAAACATGAGATACTGTGGTATTCCATTAAACTTAAGGGCAAGTTGTTTCCTTCACTTAACTTCAGTGTATGAATAAACCTAATCTCTGTGAATTTACAAGAGAAATAATCCACCCTGGTAATGTATTTGGGAGCCTCCTATTCTTTCAAAATAGTCATACACTTAATTAAGTTAGCTAGTATTGAGTGCCATATTTTCTAAGTTCTCAAGACAAAACTTTGAATACATAATCTGGTTCTGTCTTTAGTGGGATAGAATGTAGTGACCATGGGAAGGGGATAATCAGATTTGAAACATACCTACACTGGCACCTTATGCAAAGGAGGAATATTTGAGACAATTAAGTTTTTGACCCACTGTTTCTCTAAGTCCAAGTGTGAATAAGCAACAGCCAAGAGATTGTTCTGGTTCTAGTACAGTAGGGGGATAAAATTTAGCTTTTTAGAAACGAAATCTATGGGACTGGCCTGCAAGCACCAGTATCCTATATAGATGCCGGTTCATATTCCATCTGTGCCACTTCCCATCCAGCTCCCTGCTTGTGGCCTGAGAAAGCAGTAGAGAATGGTCCAAAGTCTTAGGTGTTTGCACCCACATTGGAGACCGAGAGGTGTTCATGTTTGGGGATGATTGTGCCCTTGAGTGAAGTTATTCTATGATACTTTTTTTGTTTTGCTTTAAAATGAGGACAATACCTACCTTATAGTGTGGTTGTGAAGATAAAATTAATGAAATATATATTATATAAGTTAATTACCAACATTTAATGAACAGCAATTTTAGAATTATTTCTAACCTCTCTTTGTTGCTGTAATCTTACTAGTGTCTAATCTTGTATCTGGATCCTTTGAAATTTTAACTTTTCTAAAGATACATGTTTGTAGTCTAAGGGTAAATTTTCAGTGGCAGAAAATTTAGTTTTTGAAAATTTTACTTTTTTTTTATTTGAAAGGGAAAGAACAATAGAGGGAGTCAGATGACATGTCTTTAATTCCTTGGTTCACTTCCCTAATGTCTGCGACACCTGGTGTTAAGTTAATCCAAAGCCTAATCTCTCACATAGATAGATGGCAGGGACCGAAGCACTGGGCATGTCATGTGTTACATCTTAGACTGTGTTTTAGCAGGAAGGTGGATTCAGAAGCAGGGGTACGATTTCAATTCAGAGACCTTGCGTGATGGCTCAGTCGCTTAATGTTCACCTTGCAAGATCCCATACTGGTGCTGGTTCATGTCCTGGCTGTAGCTCCCTGCTGGAGGCCTGTTGTGGCCATTTGGGGAGTGAACCAGTGGAAGGAAAATCTTTATCATTTCTTCTTTCTGTAAATCTGCCTTAAAGAGAAGAATAAATAAATAAATAAATAAATAAATAAATAAATAAATAAATAAATAAATAAAGATTTCAACCCTGGACTTGGGACGTGAGTTTCCCAAGTGGTGCTTTAACTACTGTATCAAACTACTCCCATCTATGTTAGTAAATTTAAATTTCAGCCTATCTTTTTGCAGTACTTCATCTACCTAAGTAATGCTATCTGATAAATAATACCTATTCCTGAATTCAACAAAAATTTAGACTTGAATCAGTGGGTTGATTTATGAAGTTCACAGTTAAGTCTGAATTTCTTTCAAGTCTCAAAATAACTTCCTGGCAGAGGCTTAGGTTTGAGGCTTGCCAAGCTGGATCTACAGACACCTTTTGTCTTAACTTCAGGATTCCAGTTTTCCTGAGTAATTTAGATTAACTTTTTTTTTTTAAGCAGAATTTTTGTGGTTAATAGAAACATGTGCGTACAGCTTTTTTTTTTTTTTCATGGATAAAGTATTCCACAGTAGATTTAGATCAAGAGATAGATTTTCAGAACAAAATGATGGATATGTCCTCTGGGAGCAACGGAATGCAGCATGTTGTCTCTGACTGGTTGAGTTTGTGGCCTTTATGAACCTTCTACACCCACACCCTCACAGAGACACAAACAGTGGTCAAAACTGCAGCCCCAGACACTACTGCTCTCCACAGTCACATCTCCAAACTGCCTCCATTGTTTTCCATAACATGAAACAAATCCCTCTCTTTGCCTGGTGGTGAAAAGCTTATGTAAATACTAAAACTTCAGCTATTCCCTTGAGTTTTCTGTTGGCTAGACTACAGTCGTGAGTTTGCTTGTGTATTCACATGCATTTTCTATTTACCTCTTTCAGGCCACTTGGTTGAGTTTGATGGGGATGAATTCAAACTAATCGTTATCACATTCTGTTTATGAAAGCTTAATTAATTGACACCCTGATGGAAAAGATCCCAAGTTCAAAATATCTGCTTTATTCTTTCAGTGTTTATCGTTGTGATGACATGAATCTCTGTATATCTATTAGAAAACCTTATACCAGGAGTTGACCTTACCAGTCATTAAAAAGAAAGAATATATATGTGAATGTGAAAAACTGACTAGAAGTGCAATGGTTAAAATTACATCATAGTATTCTCATGAAATAATTTTTCCTAAGTATTTATAAATGGAATGTTTTGTGTACTGAGTAGGGAGAGTTAATATTACTGGGATTAAACTAAAATGAAAAATCTTTATCCACACTATTGAAGGGAAATGAGAAGGTATTGTCTTTAAAGACAAAAATCAGTGCTTGATATATTGTCTGCACTCAACTAAAACGGATACATGAATTGGATTCAGTTCCTTTTGAATATAGTACTAACTGTATTGAAATATTTTATTATAGTCTTGTAATAATTTACATGATTTAGGATGGGCATTTAATCTAGAGGTTAAGACGCTGTTTAAGATAGGTAGTGGACCAAATAATTAGGTTGCTGTTGCCCTGGATCCATTTGCTGTTTCTCAGCTTTGGCTTCACCTGGGGCTCATTGCAGGCATTTGACTCGTGAACCAGGCATTGACGTGCTCTTTGACATTTGTGAACAAAACTATGATAGACACTGTTGTTGATGTAGCAATGTATCTTTTGGAGAATGTATTAATTCTTTTTTTATTTCTCTTTATTCTTTCCTTTTAATCTGTTAAATAGCAACTAGAAAAGTGGTCTCTAAATACTGATACTGTTTTTAGCATTTTGTTCTTTGAAAAATTGTTAAAGAAGAACATTTTCCTGACAGTATCCAATGGACTTTGCAGTTCTAAGACTAATTCTAGCTTTGTAGTGAACGAGAGAACTGAATACAAACCCATGAATACTAACTGTTTCCATAGTTCCACTAGTCAGTGTGTATTCGTGAAGCATTTTACCTCTGACAATCGTCATTAGGTAATACTTAAACATGTTTGGAGGCCTTGATTATTAATCAAAAGTAGTTTGCTAGGAGATTGTGTTGTATTCTTCAGCATGTAACAGAATGCATCTTGTTTGTGTTCTGCTCCTAGGTTTGAAGAAAAAACGAGCAACAAGTGGTTACATCTCTTTGAAGGCAGTGGGATCCCGTATGGTCCAATCAACAACATGAAGAACGTATTTGCAGAACCTCAGGTTTGTTTTTGAAGTTTGTAGCCCACTGAGTTTAACAACCCAGGTATTTGCTTCACTCTTCCATCCAGATTGATTTCTTTAGATTTATTAGACATTGGACTTAAATGTTAGTGACAGAATATGATTTTTTTCATAGTCATGTTCAAATTGTGGGTCTGAAATGAATCAGCATCTAGAACCAGCTTAATCTTAAATTTGTGTGTATGCTAAATATAACATACTATTTCAGCCACTGCATGAAGTTTCCAAGGTAATGATTTCATTTTTCCTGAAAAACAGAAATACAGACAACTGAGAATTTAGAGTCAGGCTCTCAGAAATCAGTTTGTTGAAAGAAATCATTTTTAGTTCTTCATAGTTACAGCCTACCTCTCATCATGCAGCTTTTTCAAATATGCAAATGAAGTCATTTTTTTACTGTGGAGGATAGACTTTGGTGCTTTGAGTAATGTTTATTATTTATGAGGCAAACAGAATACTTAATGTAAAGATTTGTTCGATGTGTTGCTTAAGAGGCTGCTTCTTGGGGGCAGGAAGGAGGGCCACCTAAGAAAAATGACTTCATCTATGACATTGTCCCAATGCTTATTTTAGATGATATCAAAATAGTTTTTCATTTTTATTAATTTAATGAGACTATCTACAAATGTTTTTCCATGTCTAAGATTCAGATTTTAACCCTAAAACATAGAAAAGCTCCGTTTTTGTTTTTCTATAAAACTTTCCTATGGTTGGTCACCTACATTGTCAGCTTCTACCATTTAATATTTTTTTTTTTGTTTCCTTTTGTGTTCTTTATATACTAGAAAGTTTTGTCTTTGAAATAAATGACTGTATATGGAATGTATCTTTTTGAGAGAGAGCCTTGCTGGAAAACTGATCCTTCTTTTTAACTTTGCTACTTGTACATGAATATCTGTGTGAAAGAAAACTGGATGCATTTTATTCAATGATTAGAATATTTATTGGATAAAGAAGTGAATTCATTCAAAATTTCTTCGTGATATTTTCTGCCAAGTTTTTGATTATGGTTTGGCATGGTTAACACATATCAGAGTTCAGGAAGTATCTAAGACAGGGGTCGCCTTGGTGTGTTCTTATACAAGTTCATCTTAAAAGACCACTAACATAAATGGATTATGCCTACTGATTCCTTGCAAGAGGATCAGTGAGCACATTCTGAATGAAGGACAGAAAGCTGGTTTTCTGTCTTTATAGTTCTGAATGAGGCCAAATATAATTTTAAGTTGTATGTAGGATTTTGTGTTTTCTCAGTGGAACATTTTCTTAGAAATATTTTATAATGCTTTTTTAAGATTTATTTATTTTTAGTGTGAAGTGTTATTAGCTTTTCTGTTGCTCATCTGTTTTATGTCAGGGATAAGGGGACCAAAGCAAATAATATTTTTAATGTATTTATGTGTATTCTAGCATTACCTACTTTTTAGGCTTTGGTAAACGAAGTACCTAGGTCCTACTGACTACTTAAAAAATGAATGTGAAGAATGACTATAGGCAAGTTAAGATTCTCACAATGAATTTTCTCCTGGATTTATTTTAATGGCTTTACTTTTTACATCCACTTTGGATTTGCAAAGCATATTCCACCGTCTGTGGTAATATTTAGCCCACTCTCCAAATGGGAAAACCTAAGCCACAATAACTTAAAAATCTCTACATACTGCCTCCTTATCCACAAAAAATTTAAACTCTAAATGTTACAGTTCTGATATCAAAAGAACTTAATCGTGCATGGTAGTTAGCTGTTAGTCACACTATAGTATCAATAGTAGTGCCACTCATTTTCGTATGTACTGCATTCTTTGGCACTTAAAGATACAGTGTATGTATATAACATCTGGAGCTACCATTGCATCTTCAAAATCAGCACAGATGACTATGGAAATTCTAACTAGGATTGTTTCGCATAAGAGATAAGGCTATCAGTTTTCTTATAAGTGCTTTTCCTTTTTTAGAAAGAGTTCTGTATATTTTGAATTTTGGAACAGTCGTTAAATGTGAAAAATCATAAAGATCAAGAATCCTATACAAATTACAGTATTAAAATCCCCTTAATTTCACATCTGAAAATGGCTAGCTAGAAAATTTGTTTGTTTATTCAATAAACTTTTAAAAACATTTTTTGAAATGCAGTATTTATTTTAGGAAGTGCATTTTAAGTTTACAGATGAATTAATTTTTTGTCCTCGGATTATGTTCATAACCAATACTCCAGTTAAGAAAAATTATTACTAGTCACTCAACTATGTCTGAACTAATACAGATAAAGTACAAATTTAGTATTTGCTGCCTTTATGGGAAATAAACAAATTAAAAATTTCATTATAACTGCTTAAATAGTATGTACAAAATAAATGTTGTTAATGTGTGAATCAGCAAAGGAATGAACTGCTTAACTCAGAAAAGTGCAGGTGTGCCGAATGATCAAGTGGCTCCTGTGTCTCCCTGCTGGACAGCTGTGTCCCTAGCAATGGTTGGAAAGGCTCTGGTGAACTTCGGGGCTTGAGGGTGAAGTTGGTGGAGTGTTTTACAAACCTTCTAGGGTTTAGTTTTCCTAGGTGTAAACTGGTCAAATTGGATCTTTAGATTGTTGAAAGTGTTGACTGAGCTGTTCATCAAGAGAACGGCACCTGCATTGCTGGAGAGTAGATGCTCAGGGCATGACAGCAGCTCTGGTTACAGTTGTGCCATTTATGGTTATAGTTGTGATCACAGTGTCTTCTTTTACTCACCTTTGCTGAAAAGGTAGAGACAATTCCAGTGTAGCTGAGGGGAAGGAGATCATGACTTAAAATAGTCATCATTTAGTATTACTGACAACCCTTATATTTTTCACATCCCATAGAAGGTTTTGTAATTATACTTTCCGTTTGAGGTGTCCTCCCTTGCATTCCTGCTGATGAGCTGCAAAGTTTCTTGGCCATGGGCGCAAGGACTTGGTCGCTTGTGTTCAGATGTGGGAATGTGCCGCTGGCGCGGTAGCCCAGCTCTCCATCTGCACTGCGCCAGCACAGCTGCTCATTCAAGTGAAAATTGCTTTGGGTGAAGTACAAGGACTGGAACGTGGGGCAGGAAGGGAGGCTTTGATGAAGTGAAAAGAGGCATGTCTAACCGGGAGTAGAAAAAGCGATGGGCAGTCTCCAGGAACAGGAGAGAATTTTGTGTGCCTACTCACCAAGTAGATCATTTATGTTTCATTCGTCGTTTGAAAAATTTGAGAGCAAAACTGTGCCTAATGGTGGAAACTATTTCTAATCTAACAATTTCCTCACAATCTTGTATTCTGAGAAAACGTGGGTTTTTTTTGACTCAAATGAAACAACAGATGATGTCGGTTTTTTTTTTTTTGGCTAGATGGAAGACTGTTCATTTTTTATCCTATGATCATCTGCTACAGACCTTTGCACAGTTAAAATGATCTTACAGACATTCACTGTTAAGTCAATCAAAAATACTGTGGGTGTTTTTGTCTGCATATATATACTGATGTTCTACGAAGTTTTGATCCAAAATCCTGAAAGTGTTAGTTTTATTGTCTTTCTCTCTCAGTGACAAATTATCTGTGGAAAGTATTGTGTATTTATAGAAATATAGGATAGATTATAGGCATATAGATTTTAATAACCAGTCATGTTTCCAAATCCTGTCTTAAAATATCTACTTTTTAATCAGACCAAGATTGTGCAATACATTAAAGGAATTCTTAAAAAGTTTCAAAAACTTGCTAGATGACCTCAGTATGGTCCTATTTAACATACCCTTGGGAACATGTGCATGAAATACATTGTGGTTTGAGAGTTTCCAACTCAAACACACATAAAAAGAAAATGCAACCTTTTAATAGAAACGATTCAAATTCTTGCAAAAATAGGTATAGATCAAACTTAAAGAGCTTGAAAGTATCATTATCTGTACATATATTATCAAAATAGAATGCACCATCCTCCTTTTCAGCTTTTGCTTAAGACTTTTTGTTTATTCTGATTTATCACTGTCTTTGATTGTATTGCTCAGTTAAAAATACAAATCATTAAAGCCTCTGTCTCATGCTTTTACTTGTCCTGATGCTGTGAACTGAGGGCACAGAAGAGAAGGCAAAGGGTATCACAAAATTAATGTTATTTTAACCAAATCTTCACATTTATACCACACAAGTTGAATATATCAGGTGTAAGACATCACACTGAAGCATCACTTCTGAGAACTGTTAGGAGAGAAATATCAGAATTATTGAAATATCACAGCTGGCCATGATTTTAACTGGTGCCAAACACCTGCAGACTCTAAAAGGATACCAAAACAAAACCCCACCCTGTGGCAGCAGGCCATCCCTTAAGAACTCTTCCTTAAGTTTGCATCACCATCAAAATTAATTTAACATTTTTCTGTGGAAACCTTATTCTTCCTGTCCCAGAAGGCCATTACAGCTCCTTTAACAAATCTTTCATATGGGGTAAATATGTCATAGAAAAAGAGTGAAGTATTGAAATACTTGATGGCTGACAATTATCTGTTGTTTTCATCTCATTACTTGTGGAACCCTGTGAAGTTGGAGGTTTTATTAATCTCTAGGCTAGCTCATACTCTTGAAGTGATTTTGTTTTAGCATATTTCAGAAAAATATCTAAACATCTGCGAGCAAAGAGCCTTCAATATTCAGATAGCCAGCATTAGTGACCCTAAAATGCAGAACTATTTTTCAAGAACTTCCTAACCCTGCAGATACTATACAAACTATTAATGCATTTAAAAAATACCTTTTGAAAGACAAAGACATTAGTTAACTATTTAAAAATGTTCTCAGAGGGTGAAGTTGGGCAAAATTGCATTCCTGTCATTAACGCAGTGACTGCTTCAAGGAAAAAAAAAGTTGACAAGTATGTGAGGTAAAATATTATATCTGCAAATAATTCCTAAAGGACTTGAAAGATAAAAATTATATTTTATGTGTATCTCTGAACAGACATGAAATATTTTAG